TCTCTCCTTAAAGGAAATAAATGGGGCTGCAGATGTAGCTCAGGGGTTGAGCGCTTGCCTAGCATGTGCAAGGTCTGGGTTCAGTCCCCAGTATTTTAAAAAAAATGAAATAACAACTCACAGGTGCTGAGATTTTGCTTCGCCCACCCAACCTTTTTGCCTTTGGGTTTTTATTTATTTTTATTTGTCCTAATTAGTTACACACGACAGTGGAGTGCACTCTGACATGTCACTCTGACACATTGCAGTAGAACTCCTCGTTCTCAGTTGTGCATGCTGTGGAATCACACCAGTTTATACTCATATGTACACATAGGGTCATAATCACTTATTTGTAAACAATTGTCGTCAGTGTGAATGTAGGTGCTCTGCATTTCTTTAACATTTAGTTCTTACATTTTTTTCAAGTCAGGCCAGTTTAAAACAAAAATCAAAAGTGGCCTTGCAGAACAATTACTCCTGCACTGTGCATGACCTCTGCCCCTGAAGGAAGAGCACATGAATGCTGCCAGGAATGTGCACCAGGGCCCGAAGTCCTGGAACCTCTCTGAGCACTGCTGTTGCTCCCTCTCCCGGGCCCCAGGGTGTCGGGACTTGGGGTGATGCACAGGGTCTCCCTGCATGGCAAGCCCCTGTGACTTCGAAGTGACGTTTCTCTTATCACCATGCTGTTAGTCATCAATACAAAACGTGGGTCTCACCAGGTGGAAAACATTCTGTGAGCAGTGTACATTCTTCCCTTAGCATCCCCCTCCCTCCTGTAATGTTCTGAATTTTTTTCCAAGTGTAATCTTATTTTAATGATTAGAAATATTCATTCCTTGCTATTTTTTTTAAATAAGAGAATATGCTTGCAAGTATTTTAACTTGCTTTTAATAAGAATAGTTCCAACTGCTGAACTAAAACAAAAGGAATGTCTTCCTGGTGCTACCTGTAACAGGGATTAAGTCCAGGGATGCTTAACCACTAAGCCACATCCCCAGTCTTTTTTTGCATTTTATTTAGAGACAGGGTCTCACTGAGTTGCTTAGGCCCTCACTAAGTTGCTGAGGCTGGCTTGGAACTAACTTGTGATCCTCCTGAATCAGTCTCCCAAGTAGCTGGGATTACAGGCGTGTGCCATGATGCCTACTCTGTGTTCCCTTTTTATTTTATTCACCGCTTTTAGACCCATTGTAATGTTACCTAGAGGAGATCAAATAAATGCTTTCCTTGTAGGTAATTTATTTTAAGTAATTTATTGATAGTAGTAGAGATTGAGCCTGAAGTGCATCCCCAGCCCTTCTGCTGATTTTGAGATAGGGTCTTGCCAAGTTGTTAGGCTGGCCTTGAACTTGGTCATCCTCCTACCTCAGCCTCCTGAGAAGCTGGGAGTCCTGGCTTGTAGGTCTTTAAAAGGGAAGTGACTGGTAACTCATAATGGGTATCGTTTCCTCATTTCCTCACGACTTCACTGATCTCTCTGGATACCTGGTGGGTAGGATTCTGGAGAAGACATCATTAGAGTCCTATTTGACCGTGTGCCTGAAGCTTCATGAAGCTGTCTGCAAGATCACCAAAACCCCGAAGTATGTTGAGATCCCCGCCTTGTCTGCCTGTGTCATTGGCAGAGTCCTTGGACTTGGTCCTGCTGTGGTAAGTGGCATTTAGGTACCAAACGCCATTCCCATCCATGGAATCTGACTCCATGCAGCCTGATTTGGAAGGGAACGTGTGGAGTCCTGGGATGCCTGGAGCAGAGAGAATGATCGAGTCAGCTCTCAGGCACCCACTGGATGGGTTCAGCCATGTGCAGACCACACACCTCGCGCCTGGCCTCACCAGGAAGATGACCCCTTTTTTTCCCTTGATTCTGTTGTTCACAGAAATCTAGGGCCTATTTCCCCGCCCAAGGTCTTCCATCCTTGCTGCTGCACAGCACAGCTGTGGGGCCTGGGCCCTGCGGCCCAGCTGCCCAGCTCAGGCCCTGGCACCCCTAGGCCTGCAGTCATCCTTGC